GTCCATGAAGAAGTGATTATGGCCTAAACCCAAAGGGTTTAGGGGTGGACTGCCAGTTGGCATCAGGGCAGGGGCACACAGTCTGAGGCTATGTGCTGACATATATAGACATTGGAAAACAATGCAGACCAATGGAAGGTCTTGGGGGCTGGTCTCAGGTGAGAACAATGGATTACCTGGACCAATGATGAGTCCCAGGGGTGCGTGGCATCAGGATGGGCAAGGCCTAGATGTGACCAATGAGCTCTCAGCGGGGCAGAGTCTGGCTTTAACAACAGAAGCCAGGTGTTGGATGACTGTATTGGGGGTGTCCATTGTGAAACAACAGAGTGGTCTGGTGTTTTCCTGGTGCCCGACAAAAGAAGTGATGTTTTTTTAATGTGTGGCAGGATGATCCTGAATGGGTGACCATTCACTAGCCATGGAAACTTAATGTTTACCTTGATAGATCTGGTAGCTGTTGCTACCCACCGATGAAGGATTCCAGCAACTCTACCTAACAATATTCTAAGAAGATCACCATGAGTAACTGTGCTAAGCAACAATCTCAGTAACCCCTTTTGGTACTCAAGCCATTTAAAATGACACAGACCAAGACTGGGAGGAGGAAAAGATCCCCCCCCTCCTCCTCCCTCGCGGCTAGCAAAAGACTAGAGAAGCACCTTCATACTGACTTTAACTTTAATCTTGAAAGGACAACCAGAGTCAACATTTGACAATACATGGTCAAGATTTTATAAGTGGTTTGAAGACTATAGTAAATAAACTTCATACAAAGTATAACTTTGATATATTTGCAAGAGATATACATAATGATATAAGGTGAAATAGACAAGTATACCGGTTGTTAGGGATGAGTTTGTTAAACAAGAATCTGTAAGAATATCTTTTCCCTCCTACATGTTTTGTCTTTAAAAATAAAAAATTGTTTTTTAAAAAAATCAGTCTGAATTCAGCCTTGAGAAGAGTTTAACACAGACAGAGGACTGGGGAAAGTTGGCAAAGAAGAGTGGGTAGTTAGGCAAAGGCTCCTATTCGGACCAAGAAAAGGGGATAGATCTTCTAGTTAAGAGAAGAAATTTCCCTACCAGTCAAAACAGGGATATAGCTCTGAAGAGTGGAGAGATCCCTGATCTGGTGTAGTTTGCCTTGTGAAACCTTAAGAGTCAGATAAAACTCAAGAAGAGTACTGGGGTATTTAGAGAAGGGGTTTGGGTACTGGGAAGAATGTACCTGCCTTCTGGAAACTAAAAGGGTCAGTGAATACTCAACAAAAATGTACTGGAGTGTTTGGGAAACACTGGAACAAAAGCATCTCATCTTAAAGATCCTTAGTCACTTGGAATGGCTTATGAAACTCTCAATAGCCTGAAACATATGAACTAAAGTCTGTGCATATACTGATTTGCTTCAGAGTTCTATATTGAGTTACCTCAAATTTTACCCCTGATTTCACCTGACCTTTCCCTTCTATGTTGAATAAAATATTTTGTTAATTTGGAATTTCAAAATGCCTCAAATGCCACTTAAGGTTAAGTTAAAGGAGGCATTTGATCCTTCCCTCAGGTCCCTGTGCTGAGCCAACAGCCAAAATATCATACTGTGACAGGGTGGGACAGCTAGAGTTCTTCAGGAAAGAAGAAAACAGATAATTAAGGTCACTCAGACACAAAATGGAAAGGAAATGGGGGGGGATCTTGCCTCTGAGGGAAGGAAGTGGTCGGGGGCACCATATCATATGACCCAAGTTTTTTTCTAGAACAAGACTTAAAGACTGCTGTACAAGATGTTTTAGTTGCTGTTTATATTAAAGTTGTCTTAAGCGATCCATCTTTCATTTAGTATTTAGTATCTATCTTTCATTTAGTATTTATCGGTTGACCCAGAAATATTACACCATGAAGACTTCATAGAGACATTGTGAAACTAACAGATGAATTTTGTGTAGCACTTTCAAGCATCACAATTAAGCATATTGTATTTTGGTTAAAGGTGATTTTTTTTCTTGACAGTTTTTTTTTCATAGTTTTCTTCTATTTGCCTATTACTCTATATCAAGCGCCCTATATATGATCCATTGTGGAAATGGAGCACCTAAGAATGTGGGCCATTCTATTTGCTTCAGTGGAGTGAATGGGAGAGGCTTGCACACTGAAACCTTAACCCCTGTAACAAGTCATTGGTTGAACAGTAGTGTAAGGAAAAATTACAGAAGAAAACTGCAAAACAATACTGGATAATGTTTTCAAAGGAATCTGGATCCACAACTTATGAATGTCTTGCATGCTGGTTATTATTAATATTTTTCATATTGAGCTGGTCTACTCAGAAGTAAGTACCATTTTATTCAATAGTTGCACTTTGCAGCTGTGACACACGCCTGACCTGCATTTCCCAGACTATTTAGAAATATTTTCCCCAAAACCAAATGCTTGTGAAGTTTCAGAAGGTAGAGTTGCACTTTGATGGGGGAAATGTCTTAGTGCTTGTACTTTTTCCTTTCTCAAAGGGCTACTGCTGCTTTCCCAAAAAGAGTTATCATTTTGATGTTCTGATCACTGCTGCTCAGTATCACTTATTTAGCCACTTCCATGTATCATTCAAAGTTCTCTTGGAATCTAGCTGACCATATGCTTCCATATCTCCAGGTAGCAAAGAAAAATGGAACGATTTCTTTGGTTGCTGACGATGCTCCATTCAGCTGCAAATGGTCTGTGCAGTTGATATGGAGATCTCCCGCCCGGCCCGGGAGGTGACGGTTAAGATGTATTTTTGAGGGGGCAGTATGTCAGCAAGCTGCCATGGTGTTCTGTGTAACTTCTGATTGTACATATGTGATCCCTGTCCCTGCCAGCTGACCCCTGTGTTTTCTATGCTGTAATGCCAAAGTAAAACAACTGGAGGATGTGAGGGGGAGAGTATACTTCGCTGTTAGCTTCTTACTTATCAAGCCTGTGAACTGCACCAAGCCTGTGAACTGCACCTGTGTTTTGTCTACCGTTCGCCTGGTTCCCAAGACTTGAGCAGGCAACCGTTTTCTCCTGCCCGCCAGCGGGAACGTTATCCATTGGTTATGTTTCTAACTTGAATCCCTTTATCATGTCTGCCCTAACTGCTTGTGTTCAGTTCTAACAAAGAACGTGTTTGAGTATCTTTCCAATGCTTACTTTCTTTGAAACGTGGATTTATTCTCGATGCTTGGGGATCCAACAAAATGGAGCACCTAAGAATGTGGGCCATTCTATTTGCTTCAGTGGAGTGAATGGGAGAGGCTTGCACACTGAAACCTTAACCCCTGTAACAAGTCATTGGTTGAACAGTAGTGTAAGGAAAAATTACAGAAGAAAACTGCAAAACAATACTGGATAATGTTTTCAAAGGAATCTGGATCCACAACTTATGAATGTCTTGCATGCTGGTTATTATTAATATTTTTCATATTGAGCTGGTCTACTCAGAAGTAAGTACCATTTTATTCAATAGTTGCACTTTGCAGCTGTGACACACGCCTGACCTGCATTTCCCAGACTATTTAGAAATATTTTCCCCAAAACCAAATGCTTGTGAAGTTTCAGAAGGTAGAGTTGCACTTTGATGGGGGAAATGTCTTAGTGCTTGTACTTTTTCCTTTCTCAAAGGGCTACTGCTGCTTTCCCAAAAAGAGTTATCATTTTGATGTTCTGATCACTGCTGCTCAGTATCACTTATTTAGCCACTTCCATGTATCATTCAAAGTTCTCTTGGAATCTAGCTGACCATATGCTTCCATATCTCCAGGTAGCAAAGAAAAATGGAACGATTTCTTTGGTTGCTGACGATGCTCCATTCAGCTGCAAATGGTCTGTGCAGTTGAATTTGCCCATGACTCAGCTATATTATCCTGGGGCCAGTCTCTCCTGTCCTCTCCCTTGTTATATCTTCTTCTTACCCAGTTTTCAACTGCAAATCCCATGGCATACAGGGGGATCCTAAGCAGACTTACACTTTTCTAAACCCACCGATTTAGAAGGGAGTAACTCTGCTTAGGATTTCACTGCTAAGCAGGGACCTGTCTTCTTTCTTAGCGTTGACATTCATGAGTCCCTGCCAGAGATAGTTGGAGGAACTATATTAAAATACACAGTGAATAAGGATGTTCTGCTGTGAATTATTCTGTAAAGCATGTCGACACTGCTGGAGAAAACCTTCTTTTGTATTTGAAGAAATGTTATTTAACTTTTAGAATGAGTTCATGACAAAAATGATAAAATAGCACCAATCTGTGAATTCAAACATTAAAGATAATGCAAAGCTGGAACATTCCTTTTTGACTGGAACCACTGTCTAATTTTTTTCCCTAACAAATACTGGCTAATGCTGGGCACTAATCTCCCAGCAGAAATTTATGAGAAAAAAACCGAGATGTTTCCCAATAAAAATGTATAAGAGGAGCAAGCAGCAGATGCTTTAATCTACGTAGATTGAAGAAGGGCTGACAATTTAAGAGGTTGCAAACTCTTATTTGCAGTTGAATTGGAGAACATGACAGCTTCCATTAAAAGAAAGGTTTCCTATTGCCATGACAATAGCTTTACACTAAAGCAAAACAGGGGTCATAAATTATTCCCAGGGCCTTGTTCTAATAGCAGTGCTGGATTATTCTCTTTTTTCCCTACTGCTGTTTGATTGATGTGTTTTCTCTGAAGACCTAAAAGGTGACAACCCTTACCTAAATACCCACACATCTGTGGGAAGTGGCAAAAGATGGATGTGTGTCCAGAACGTACACCATAAATTGCAACTTCCACTAAGCCAGTGTTCCTCCAATAATAAATCTTTGCCTTGTTGCTTTATATTTTGTGGATATGCTTGTAACTCCTTGACCCACCACTTCTTATCTCCTTGAAATTCACAGCTATGCAAGTCAAAGTTGATTCTTCAAGGAATAAACAATAATCTTGTTCTATTAGAATATGTCTGGCATGTTCTCTTTGATTTAATTGTTGTCATTCTCTTAGCAGTTTGCACAGACAAGGAGCTGAGGAACCTTGCTTCACGTTTAAAAGACTGGTTTGGTGCTCTTCACGAAGATGCAAATCGTGTTATCAAGCCAACGATCTCTGATTCGACACAAGGCAGTAAGATCAAAAAATCTGATTTAAGATTTTTTTAGATAAGTTCAGCAGTCAGCAACAGTTGTAAGGACAGTCAGTGTACTATCTTTGGTCTTGTTATGCTGTGATACACATATGTGCCCATTATTTTCACACACACCCCTCCTCTTTTCTCTTTTTGTATTGGTTAGAAATTTAATCAGCATTTTTAGTATGGCTAATTAAGACATTCAAAGGTACTGAAAAGATAATCTAAGACAGGATTGTGTGATTTCCCCATAGTAGTATGGCTGTTGATATAGTGCAATAACAGGATGACTTCCACATGGCAGCAGTTTGGTGTAGTGGTTAAGTGTTTGGACTCTAATCTGGGAGATAATCTGGGACTCTAATCTTGCACCTGCTGGATGACCTTGGCCAAGCCATAGTTCTGGCACAGCTGTTCTTGAAAAAGAGCAGTTTCTGTCAGAGCTCTCTCAACCCCACCTACCCCACAGGGAGGGGAAGGGAAAGGAGTTTGTAAGCTGCTCTGAGACGCCTTTGAGTAGTGAAGGGTGGGGTATAAATCCAATCTCTTCTTCTCTTCTTCTTCTTCAGGTTTCCCCTCAGGTTTCTTGTCCAGACCCTGGCAGTGACTATTAACTTCCTGCCACCAGAGTCTTTTCAGTGTTTTTTTTAAACTGCCAAATGAATATTATTATATTATTATAACATTGTAATGATTTGCTGATCAGGTTCTCTGAATTCTCAGTTTTCATTTTTTTTAAAGTAAGTCTCTAGTTCCTTCCATTGTGGAGATATGCCTTTCCCCTTATATCTTTGCAATGGAAGGGGCTAGTGACGTTTTTGAAAAAATGAAAGCTTGGAGTTCAAGAGCCTGATATACAGATTGTTATAACATTGTAATAATATTCAGTTGCTGATTAAAAAAAATAAATCTTCCTCAGTGGCAGAGGGAAGAAATGGCCACCATGTGGACAGCAGCAGGGCAAATGACTGCAGGGTGGAGGGACATGGAGAATCCAAACTTTCCAACCTACATAGCAGTCATTCAGGCTTTGCTGTGATCTTCCCAAAACCTTTGCAGCAAAGCAGGTTTTGGAAAGATGAGAGAAAAGCCAGGGAACCCCTGTGAGGTGCATTATAGTGAGGTGTACTATAATGCTGTGGACAAGGAAGAAACAAACTTGCTTCCAACAACATTGAACTTATAGCAAATAAGAACATAAGAACATAAGAGAAGCCAATGTTGGATCAAGCCAATTGTCCACCCAGTCCAACATTCTGTCACACAGTGGCCAAAAATACCAGGTGCCATCAGGGAGTCCACCAGTGGGGACAGGACACTAGAACCCCTCCCACTGTTGCCCCCCCAAGCACCAAGAATACAGAGCATCACTTGCCCCAGACCAAGAGTTCCTATCTATATCCTTGCAGCTAATAGCCATTGATGGACCTCTGCTCCATATGTTTATCCAATTCCCTCTTGAAGCCGTCCATGCTTGTAGCCACCACCACCTCTTGTGGCAGTGAATTTCATGTGTTAATCACACTTTGGGTGAAGAAGTGCTTCCTTTTATCCATTCTAACCCGACTGTTCTGCAATTTCATTGGGTGCCCATGAGTGCTTGTACTGTGAGAAAGGGAGAAAAGTACTTTTTTCTCTACCTGCTCTATCCCATTATAATCTTGTAAACCTCGATCATGTCACCCCTCAGTCATCATTTCTCCCAGCTAAAGAGCCCCAAGTGCTTTAACCTTTCTTCATATGGAAAGTGTTCCAACCCTTTTATCATTCTAGTTGCCCTTATTTGCCCTTTTTCCAATGCTATAATATCCTTTCTGAGGTGTGGTGACCAAAATTGTACACAGTATTCCAAATGTTGCACCATCGATTTATACAGGGGCATCATGATACTGGCTGATTTGTTTTCAGTTCCCTTCGTAATAATCCCCAGCATAGCGTTGGCCTTTTTTATTGCAGTTGCACACTGTCTCGACATTTTCAGTGAGTTATCTACTATGACTCCAAGGTCTCTAGAGCTCTTGGTCAGTCTCTGCCAGTTTGGACCCCATCAACATGTATTTATAGTTAAGATTTTAGGCCCCAATGTGCATCATGTTGCACTTGGCCACATTGACCCCATTTGCCACGTTGACTCCCACTTGCCCATCCTCGACAGATCCCTTTTAAGTGCCTCACAATCCTCCCTGATTCTCATCACCCTGGACAATTTAGTGTCATTCCCAAGTCCAAATCATTACTGAACAAATTAAAAAGCATCAGATGAAGACTGATCCCTGCGGTACCCCACTGCTTACCACCCTCTACTGTGAAAATTGCCCATTTATACTCACTCTCTGTTTCCTGTTAATTAGACAGTTTTTTTATTCACAAGAGGACTTGTCCTTTTATCCCATGACTATTGAGCTTACTTAGGATCCTTTGACGAGGAACTTTAGCAAAAGCTTTCTGGAAATTAAGGTAAACAACAACAAGGTAAACAAGGTAAACACTAACAGGTTCGTGAGATAAGATCTTCCCTTACAGAACCCGTGCTGAGTCTGCCTCAATAGTTTTTGTTCATCAATGTGCCTACTAATGCTCTCCTTAATGACAGTTTCCACCAACTTACCCAGTATGGAAATGACTTATTGCATCAACTTTGTCTTTAAGCATCTGCGAGCTTAACAGACTTCATAGAACTGCTCTTTAGGCACAACAGAGAAGCCTAAACGAAACCAGGACTTCAAAACAATTTAGTCTCATAGTTTATACATTTTAAGCAAGCAATAAGGAGGTTATCAGCATTTTGATAATCTTTGTAGGTCTCTCCTTTGCTACTTCCAATAAGCCATGTACCTTGAAAACTTTTGTTTTCCCATGGTCCAGGCAGCTGGACTTCCATTGAGCCTCCTGATATTATTGGGATGGGTGGGTTTATGGGAAGTCCAGATATGTAATGGGCTATTTCAGCAGTGTCAGAATCATTACAGGTTATTTCTGTGTTTGAACCACCCCATTCTCAAATCCAGGAGGTGTCTGGCATTATGAAGCTTCAGAGCCAACCTCATTGCACCAATAAATTATTCTGCAGGGCAGCACAAAATCTTGCTTCATAGCTCCACCCCCTCTTGGATGATGGAAAAGGGCACTTCTATAATCTGCAGTCAAGATGCATTTGGAGGTTCTGGGTTTTCTCTCATTTTCTGTGGGGCAGGGTAAGGGAACAAATGTAATATTTTGCCTTCAAGCCCAGAAAACCATCATCCACAAAAGATAGTTTTGCAGCAGAAACAGGCTAATCCAGTGACCAAAGATAATAATCAGGGAGTAGAACAATTGAAAGGCTCTGACAGTCCTGTTACTCCCTTCCCCCAGCTAGAGGCAACAGACTTTGAGAAACTAAGTGAAATGTCAGCAGAGATGAAGCCTCCCACCTGTTCTCAGCAGTATTTATCAAACATGGGCAATTTTTCAATCTGTAGGTCAAAAATTCACTGTAGGTTTTGCGTGCTGCAAATATTCCCATGACAGGCACTAGATTGGAAACATAATTTTTACAGAAAGCTTTATTATACATTTATTATGAAGTACACAAGCCCCTGTCTCTGATCAAAAAAAATGTGAGATTCCCTTCTGCCTTTCTCTTTTCTTGGGTCAATGAGTATGGGGGGAAATCTGCACACATGCCTAATGATTACCAAAGAGCAATGATGCTGTATATTACCTTGATCCAGCTGTGCTGAATATCAATTTAAATTATTTATAGGAACAAACTGCATCTTAATTCATGCATGAAATTCAAACGAACACTTGAGTGCATAAGGATATTACAAACCCCTTAACTATCCCACCTGTACAATAATGCCAGACTAATTCACACAAGAGGCTAGACGATTTTCAGGGGGGAGCACGGGGGGCATGACATCACTTCTGACATCACAAAAAATAATAATGTCCAGGTTGGAGAGGAGGATGGCCAGGTCTCCCAGCATACCAGTTTGGTGTAGTGGTTAAGTGTGCGGACTCTAATCTGGGAGAACCGGGTTTGATTCCCCACTCCTCCACTTGCACCTGCTGATGTGACCTTGGGTCAGTCACAAGCTCTGGCACAGCTGTCCTTGAAAAAGAGCAGTTTGTGTCAGCAGTTGAACATGTACTTTCCAGGCCCCTACTTCAAGCTCAGGCTCCACTGCTCGAATTCCAATGCTGACAGCACCTCCTCCACTGCCCCAGGAGGGAGGGGAAAGGAAATGGGCTGAGCAGGAGCCAGGAAGATTCCCCAGGGCATTGGGGCAGCATTCCAGGGCTTCCCACCAGTCACATGGGAATGGGAAACGGAGCAGCCGGGCAAGGAAGGGCCAGGCCTCTCCCAGCAGTGGGCCTGAATCCTCTAAATGCTCCTGGGAACAGCTTCCAGGCTGTGCCTCCCCGCCCCCCCCCAATCTTCAGTCCTGCCGACCTGCCAGGGATGGGAGAAAGGGACAAAGAAAGCCCCCCCCCGTGCACGCAAAAAGGCTGTCATGCCTGCACATTTTAATTAAGGCATGTTGGCTTGCGAGGCAAAATGGAAGCAGGGAGGATGGGCAGTGGCAGGGGTCATTTGGGGGGGACGCGGGGGGACGCCTTCCCCCCGGGTGAGGTGCGGGAGGGCGGGGCCTGGAGCTCCCTGCTGGTGCCCGCTGGAGGTCGCCGCCGGCTGTAGGGAGGACACACTTCCGGTGATGTCAGGGGGTGAGGCATATGCTAATGAGTTATGCTAATGAGTCCCCCTAGCTCTTTTTCTACGAAATGACCCCTGGGCAGTGGTATGCCTTGCGCATGCGCGTTGATTGCAAGGAAGGTGAGGTGGGCTATAAGATTCAGAGGGACATTGAAAATTTGGGAGGGGGCATCACCCTGTACGCCCCACTCTAGCTACAGCCCTGCATGGAAGAACCATTCTTGGATGGCTCTCTCTCTGTGCTGGGAATCATATCAGCATGCTCCTCCATAGAATAAAACTTCCTACATAGAGGAA